ATACTGAAGATATTACTTTTTGCGGATTTGCACCCCGTTTCTGCATTCACTATGGCCGCAATTTAGGATTATCTTATCATATGGAATTATTTTATTAATCGTTTTAAAAATTGAATTTTCGTTTTTTTGCGGATTAGGTTAAAAATTATTCGGGTTTGGTGGATTCGAATGCAGAATGCACGTGTTTCTTTTATCTGTCATTTGGCGATTTTATGGACATTTCCTACTTGATTAATTAAAACCAAATAATAATCTAATATACATAAAAACTCTGTACGATTTTTAAATATCTCATTTAAATATCACATTGGAAATTTGGAAAAAACAATCACCGGTAAACATTTAACAGATATTTATTTTATTACTTTTGTATTTAAATAATTTGTTTACATAATTACTTAGCGCATCGGGACCATAAATATTCCAAAAATTGCAAAAATAATAGTTTTTTTTTATCATTTGTAACCGTTTCATCTCTCTTTACCGAATAGTCTTAGAATTCTTAAGCATACGATAAGTTTAAATACTGTAAAATAATCAACCAAATTACAATTTTAAATATTTTGAATACATGAACCATAACTACCTACAGCAACACAAAAGTAAAATATCTTAAAATGTCCAAAAATTCACACAATTGTTCATGTTTCCGCACCAAAATATCCATATGTTTAGAAACTATTTAAATACGTTTTCCTCAAAATTGATGTTTACCTAGCAACGAACCCCTACATAGTGGCTAGAGAGAACCAAAATATCCGCAAGGGTTTGTAAATACAAACGTTGTTAAAAGGAACCTATTTGTACTTAGGGAAGCAGAGGGTACACACACTGTGCATGTATCAGACAAACAATATTACGATTAGACCAAGGAGGCAAACAGTGTTCGGGAATTAAATTAAATTGGAATATGTTATCGGATGTTTTGAATACTGAATTAGAGTATTTAGTTATGTATACAATTAGCATAAATATATCACTTGATAAAATATGTGTTCTTTAGTGATCATGTTTTTTTTTTTCTTTTCAAAATTCCATGAATTTTTAAATCAGTAATTTGATGTAATTCGTAATCATTTGTAAAGACCGCATAAGTCATGGTATCAAAGCTGAAACGCCTCAGACAGGGACATTCAAAGTCTATATATAGTATATTGGTAATAAGTATTAAAAATAAACGCGTAATGTACAATATAGTAGTTAAACAGGTCATACACTTTAACTATTATAAGTTATAAGTAAATGCACATTAAATTTGTCTATTATTTTAAAGTTCTATTTATTGTAAATTTCATCAAGGTCTCCTTGGGTGTATGGTTAATGGTTAATTGCACTTTTTTTGTGGTTTAAGTCTTTAAAATTAAATCTCAAACATAGTCATCCATACATTTAAAATTAAAAACTATTTTTTACCAAACAAAATTGTATTAATACTCTTTATAAGTATTATCACTAATTACATTTTCATTACATTGTAAAATAATGTTTTCCAACAATCCAGTGTACAAGCGAAACCAATTTAATTATAAGCACACTCTGGAATATATTTAACACTGATGAAACAACATTAAATATTTCCATTAGTTAATTGATAATTATATTGAAAGTTGAAGCAGGGAAATCAAAGCGACGAGGAGCATACGACTAACGCAATCAAGCAAGGGACTCATTACAAATCTCATTAACTAACTCTGTACATGAGACAACTATCTCATTTTGTGTCGTGTACGACTAGTAAAACTAGGTGTACATTAAAAAATATCTAGATGAGTCAACTATCTCACTTTTGTCTTATGTGACTACAACAACTATGTTTATCATTCAATAACTTTGTTCATGAGACATCTATCTCTTTTTTTCGTTCATGACTATTACAGCTAGTCCCATTGACAAACTGTGTACATGAGACAACTATCTCATTTTGTGTCGTATACGACTACCAAAAATAGGTGACTCATTAAAAACTATCTACATGAGACAACTATCTCTTTTTGCGACGTGTGCGACTAAACCAAAATTTGTTCTCATTAAATAACTTCGCACATGAGACAACTATCTCATTTTGTATCGCGTGCGACTACTACAACTATGTGTCTAATTAAATAACTGTGTTCGTGAGACATCTATCTCATTGTGTGTCTTATTTGACTACTAAAACTAGGTGTCTGATAAACTGTGTTCATGAGACGACTAAAAACTTATCTCAATTTGTGTCGTATACGTCTACAACAACTATGATTCTCATAACTGCGTACATGAGACAACTATATAATTCTGTGTCGTAAACGACTACTAAAACGTAATTATATTTTGTAGCATCAGTAATAACTTGTTTTAAAACTAGTTCAAATTTTCAGAGAAGTATGGTAGTCACATAGAACATTTCTAAAACTTAAAGGCATAACATATGAAATATTTTAACGGAAACGTTTTTTTACGTTTCCGATTCCACATGACTCATTGCATCATCACTGTTTGAGGTTAAGTTAGAGCCAATTATTAATATAAACCCCTAGTATTCAATCAGAAATACACCAAGAGCACCTAAAAAAACTACAAAATTGAATTGTCTTTCCCTGTTATAGCAGTCAAATATTTTTTTACTAAATACACACGCTTTATGAAATATTCTAAACGCTGTTTAAACAAAATTGTCAGCCAACATCAGCTTTTGTTGCTCGAATAATTTAATCTGACTAAGAACACAAACTTAAGTGTTGTCGTTGAAGGGGAAAATAATGTTTGCAAAGCCAAGTATATGCGTTTGCTCGTCTGTGTTTGTTTGTGTATCCGATGAGTTGGCGCAAAGATGGCGACTGACAATTTAATAAAACAAACTCACACTTACCTGCATAAAATTACATTGCTAGTTTGTTGTTTTGGTTTGCATTTTTGTGCTGTTATCAAATTGAAAAAGTGCTTATTTGTTCTTCTAAAGTGATCGTAATTAAGTTAACTATATAGTTTTTAGTATTCAAATAATTCTATTTCATAATCTAGTGTATTCGGTAAGTGGCTTTGAAGAAGTAAACTATTTTTATCCCTAAAAATCATATGGAGTTAAAGAAATCAGCTGTTTTGGTTATTCTACTGATGTGAAAGGAAATCAGCTGTTTAGTGTTTAGGGGTTTCTTCTGACGTTTAAATTTGGATTGTTACATCCAGAATAGTTGTCGATGTAGTTCATTATTACATCGATTTTGATTGGATACGTTATTAAAGGACTTCACTCAACTATAAAATTAAATTGTATAGATAAATACAACAGTTTGTTCTGTAAAATCAGTTAGTTTATACATAAATGGTAAAACAAAGTACATGGCCCATTTAAAAGCTTACTTGTATAGTTTGGTAGTGAAAAAATCTTCGTGTAAATTAATAAGGTTAATTACGAATACTAGAATAGAATCAAGATGGGTCATAAACGAAATAACTTGATGGGTTTGAAGTAAACTTGTCTGCATTATTAAAATGGAACTGTCAAAAAACGTCCAAACCATGTGTTAATGTTATTAGTATAAGATCTGGACTAGTGACGTCATTTGTTTGTGTTTATACTACATACCTTTCCTGTTCTTATGTCCTTGAGGGCAATGATATTGCAGTACAATGAAAAATATAGTTCGTCACTAAATGTGTGAGTTTAACACCACCTTCCCTGGTTAAAACAGAGCATAGAGTCAAAAGGAGTAATTGGAAAAAAATACTTATTTCTTATTTTAATGCTGTGCTTGAACTAGTGCTCTTTGAGTTTGTAGTTATTCAACAAAATAAACCAAAATGTAATTTTGTCACGCCAATGCAAATATTTGCTCTCTAGCTTAATTTAATGCATAAATACTTTGGTGAATCTAAGTACCTTTACTTTATACGTCAAGTTATGTATTATTCAACCAACCCCTATAAAATATCATCTGGAATAATTCAAACACTGGTCCGCACATAACCTTTTAAAATTCCATGTTTTCGTCGACGCTGATTGAATTTTCCAGAGCTTTTTAAATAAACATGAACGTGGGACATTTTATTCATTGGAATATATGAAATATCTCCACGTATTCTAACACAGCCGGTTTTTAGCAGAAATGCTACTTCTAACGCGTTTTGCAATATTGTTTTTATTACTCGAAAAAGAATAAATTTACTCTGCCGAGCTCGCATATGAAGATGATTCTACGCTTGACACTGCTAAAAGCTTTTATAATTTATCAGAAATAATTAACGTAACGTTTTCCCGTTTGCATTTAAAATTGCTTTGTGCGTTTGATAAAACATATTTTCTCTTTTAGTAAAACATTTGTTCTGTGTTATGTTTTTATAAATTCAAAAGGTTGTTTTTCAGTTATCTTAATAAAGGAAATTAAAAACCCTACATTAAATTATTCCAAAAACTAATAAATCATATTTAATGTTCACTTAGAGTAATTAATTAATATGATTGGCTTTCTGACAATGTTCAAAGTTGATAAATATTTTTTTCCCAATATGAGTACTGTATTGTTCTCGTACTGAAAATTCTAAGATGAAACTACACCCGTTAGTATAATTAGAGTAGTTCAATTGCTTAATACTGGACTCCCGTAATTACTTTATTTCTGAATTTAAATCTGTATAAGGCATACGTGCTTCTTAAATTTAATAAGAGAAAAACTCTCAATTTTAAAATGATTTTTACATATTTACGTATCACTACCACAAAAATAGTTTGACAACTCTATTTAAACCAAACTGATTGATAAACTATACATTTTTTGTCTTCCAATCAATAATAATTTTTTCTCAATTGATTGTGAAATATAGGTATACAACATGTGCTTAACTAAATTAATTGTTAACTCTGCTTGCAAATATTTTCCCTGATACGGTAAAAAACTACACATTTTTTTTAAGTTTATAGCAAATTTTTGATAGTCTTCAACAGGATTCACATTTTCAATAATATTATCCACACATGAAAGCCACTGGATCACAATAAACGTCATATGATTCCTCTGTTTCAGACATTTCACACTCCAAGTTTTGGAGACGAGGATTTTGACATCCCCCCGATCAACCCCCACCAAAACCACCCCCAAGCCAACATGGGTTACCACCAACCCCCAGTGAGTACACAAACTAACCCCTAATTGCCGCCACTAGTAAACGCTTACTTTTTAACCTAAATATTCATTAGTTGTTTTCATTACTAGAAAAACCAAAACCTGACAGTGCAGTTTTCTGTTTTGTTTCAGCAGGTTTACATTGTGAAAAGAAATGTTTATTTAGTAAATATTCTCGTTAATCAGATGAGGGTTTGTTGGATTTGGTTTGTAGAAAATGTTGATATGTAAAAACAAATAAATTAGTAATTTTTATTTTACATTTTTACTTTTTAAGATGTTTGGAACTATACACAATTTTCAAGAAATCCAATAACGTTATATGCTTTGATAATCCTACTATTATAAATTATTCTATGATGAAGAATGACACGTCATTGAATAAAGAAGCTTTGTATAGCAAACAAACAAATCTTCAGTTTCTTTGGTAAATTTTCAAAGTGATGATAAATCATATATTTGCTGAAACAAGTTATAGTGTTCATAACTTTGGCTTAGAGTGGGTTCTTTTTTTGTTTCAATTTACATAGCAATGGGTTACATGTATATGTTAAGATTAACTCAGGAAATTTACCAAAATTAATAAACATATGTCCGATTAAAAATGAATTTTCAGCTGGGAATTTATGGCAGCAAATGTCGTTGGTTCGTCTCCCGATACAGTTTTTCAGTATCGTTGTAGCCTCCTCTAATACAAGGCCGTTGGTGTGTGGCAACATCGCACCGGCCTATTGTAATGATAATAACAGTAAAACACGATTACTAGAAAAATACCGGTATGGATCGTAAATATAAACAAATGACGTTGTTGGCCCGAATCCTATACTAATATCATTGAACATATGTTTTGGCAGTTCCATTTAAGCAATGTTAAATAATGTTTATTTTCGGGCCAAAAACGTCATTTGTTTATGTTTATGATCCATACCGGTATTTTTCTAGTAATCGTGCAGTAAAACCAAACGTGTAAACATAAACATTGTTTAGAAGCTCCAATAAGCGCAACAGCTGTTTCTGTCGGCCTGGAATGCGGTGTTGCCACTTTTGTCAGCGGCCTTGTATTAGAGTAGGCAATGGTATCGTTTTTACTACATAAATCCACTCAGCAATCATCAGGAACATTGTTGAGCAACGTATTGGTTTGGGTAGTGAAGTAGGTGTAGTTCTCGCCTTCAAATCGGACGGTTGTTAGTTCAATTCCAAGCAAAAGCGATCCTGGACAAAGATGCCATTTGACATTTTGCTATCAAATTAAATCATCCAACAAAAGGCTAGCTGTTTCTCGAGGTTAAGCCGTTCCCTTACGAAAAACCCTAAAGATTAAAATACGATAGGTAAATTTAAAAAAAATTATGATAATCTCTTGTTTGTTACAGATGTCCATGAACATGAGCCAGACCACAGATAGCATCAGTATGAGTGACCCTAGTAACGGTTATCATCAACAGAATCATCAGATGTACCAGGACCATAATATGGGCATTAGTGTCAGGTAATGAAATTTACTCATTTAACTGCCACTACCAGTGTAAACCTTGCCCATTCACATTGTTTCCTACCAATATCGAATCATATTATGTTCAATCAGGTTACCCATTAAAAGAGTTTGAAAATTTTATGGAAATTGTAAAACAAAAACATTTTCTTTGTCCAGCCGGAATAAACCTGGTTATGCAAGTCTTTTCCGGGCCGTACAATATTTGGTTTTTTGAGATCCAAAAGAAGTTTTATGTTTTAAAAGTTTTGGCCTAATTTAAGAAAATATTTTTTTGCACACCAACTCAAATAGCTCTTTTATTATACATAACATATTTACATTTAATTTGTTTCAATAAATTGACTCTTCAAACTTATTATAGCTTTAATTCTGTTAACAGTTTGAAAGGGATTTCTCATATACATAGTTTTCAAATTCCTAATGTTTCTCATAAGAAATTGTAAAGACATTTCGTCATTGCAGTCAATAGTGTTTCAAAACGGCCAAGATATAAATTACTGTTACAACTTTGCCTCCAGCAATGTACAGTTCATTTCAAAACTATCTCAGCCCCAACAAACTGGTTTCTACATCTGGTTTCTATCCACGATTTCAATCTTGTCAGCTGTCAAAGCAACAATAGAAACAGCTGATTTGTTGTTGATCCACATGTTTTTATAGTGGATCAGATAATATCTTGACATGCACCTTATTATTCATTGCCAAATGAATAACCTCACTTTAATTTGTCTTTGAGCACTTTATGATTTCACATTTACAGTTGACAGCTATTATGTTTGAAATGAAATGTATTAAGCACAGCCTTACCAGTATATTTTTTACGTTTATCATTGTTAAAAATTTATTTAAGTTTTATTTATGTAAAAATAAACTGTCAGGAGGATTACAATTATGGTAGAGTTTAGCCTTACTTTTTATTGAAGTGATAACTATTGTTAATCTCATTTTTAACTGAGGTTAGTTCATATTTATTTGTTTTACTTGTTGTATAAGATCATCCTTGACCCAACAAATTAGTTAGTTCAATTTAGTTAAAACCAAGTTTAAACAAGCGAAATAGAGGAATGTTATTTGATTAACAGCTGTAAAACATTGGGTGATGCTATCATGTGTATTTGTGCACTGCAATTCTTTGTGTAATATCCTTAATACGTTTATGTAAACTTAAAACGTTTAGGATTTGTAAAATATGCATACAGTATATCATGTAGTATTCATACATTTACATATACATGTATATACATGTATATTATACAGGTTGTCCCGTAAGTAAACACGATAAGTCAAGAAAACGGTTGTTGGGTCAAATAAAGAGAAAATCACTAATATTCTTTTCCTAAATCGTTCTGTTATCTTTTAATTGTTCCACTCGATATTTATGAAACTTTGTAATCTCGAATAACCAATAGTTGAAATTTAAAATGTTAAGTTGGAAAACAAGATGCACCCTGACCATCTGTACCTCGTTTGAGTTTCAGTACCTCAAATATTTTTCAACTTGTATGTGTCGTTGTACCTAAACACTATCAACACTGGGGTGTGTGTTGCTAGCTTAGTAGCGGCATCACAGACATCGGCATGAAACCGACTAATTTGATCCTTGACACACTTTGAGTAGTTTAAACCACTTTAAAAGCTTTTTTAAATCTCCTAAAAACCAAGTCTAAATGGTTTAGACCATATCCTCCTCTAATACAAGGTTGGTGTGGCAACGTCGCACCGGCCGGCCTCTATGGCAATAACAATGATAACAAATTTGAAAGCATAACTACTGCGCAGACTCTCCATTAATTAGTGCAACAGCTGTTTTGGTAGGCCGGAGCTGCGACGTTGCCACTTTTGTCTCGCCGCGGCCCTGTATTGTACTCGTGCGTAACTATTTACAGTTTTTAAAGGAAAACTTTACAAATTATGCTCGTTTGCAGTGCCAGCTACAGCAGTCCCCCCGCCAACGGTCAACCCCAATACAGCCACTCCCAATCCCAGATGCAGATGGCCCCGCCGCACTACACCATGGGGCCCCCGTACGGCAGGTCTCCCCAGGGACATTCCCCGCCAGGCGCCCCACACCCCCACCATGAGACTACCACCACCAGCGACGACAGTGATGACAGCACACCACACACACAACTGGTCAGTAAAATGCATAGGGACTTTGGGGAAACTCTTACTCTCTGTCAAAAATGTCTCGGAAAAAATATGGACTATTTTTTGACACAATTGGCACTAAATGAGTTGATTCACAGGCTTTCTACCGATCACAGAAATCACTGATTTGACTTGGGGGGGGTGTCATGGAAGTCACTGAAAAGAACCGGATTTCATTTTAAGGTCCCAAAAGTCACGGAAAAACTTGGGCATAGCTAAAATAAGGTTTTTCAAGCCTCAAACCTTCAAAGAGGGGACACATTTTGGGGGCAGGCAACCAGCTCAATTCGTTAAGGCGCAAAATATGGTCCTGTCCAACCATCTCATGTTTAGTCACTGAAAAGTATTGTACTCTACCAAAGTCGGTGCGTGTTGACATCATCTCCCCCCCCCCCCAAAAAAAGTCATTGAAATTTAGTTTAATCAACTTGTAGACACCCTTCTTTACGAGCCAAGAACTGTTTGATACCCCTTCATCAAGCATACCATGATATGATATGAACAAACGATATGCTTTTCAAAACACGGGGTAGGAGCGTCATCGGATTTTTACTAGAAGAATCGATTCTAAACTAAGAACATAAAATTTCAAATGTTCAAAATCTAAAACTAATGACATTTTGTTCAGACTTTATCATTATCTCAAAAGGAGGATATATAGTTTAACAGTTATTCCAATGATTTTGTTACTGTATGCTCCAATTAAAATGTTATACTTTATTTGGATCTTAAACTTACTTCAATAACAAGACGAATATAGAATATCATCCTCAAATGCCCTTATCAAGAAACTTGTACCTGCTGCAAGAGTTTAGTAATCTTCTTCATGTTTCTTCTGCTTCAACTCCTAAGCTTATCGCTAAGTGACAAGTTCATTAAAGTTTTCATGCTTGCATCAATAAAGCTTTAAAAGGCCATAAAATGGATTAGTTTCATAATCTAATTTTAGTTTATATTAAATATAATTATAAACTAACTTTAAAAGACTGAAAATGCAAAATATCGTACTATATAGAGTTTAATAATTTTGTGAACATAAATGCTGCATACAGAAGGGAGATCATATACTTAAAATTACTTGCAAATGCCAAACTTAGCTTTTATGTAGTGGCAAGACTTTTGAAAGTAGACTTAACTTTCCTAACGTTGTATGCACGTTATCCCTTCATTTTGAAATATCATAATTTGTGAAGTATCGCACTTTCAGTTTTATATCGCATGGCTGCATCTTTTATGATAGATATAATTGAGACTTTTTATTTTCAACAGTTGGCTGGAATGAAGCGGCCGTCACCGGAGCCTGCTGACACCAGCCTCGCCAAAATACAGAAGAAACCAAAAGCTCAAAAAAAGAAAAAGAAGAGGGACCCGAATGAGCCACAAAAGTAAGTTTCTATTCCACATATTTTAGATTAAGAAGTGAATCAGCGCCGCTTTAAATTTGTTCAGTATCTTTTATCAATGTCAAATCCTGGATGAGTAACCGACTAAAATAAATCCCTGAAAATAGTTTTTAGCACTATAAGGTTGTATGAAAATTTTGAAAGGTCTGTAGGAAATTTTTTTTTTAATTCAAACGCAGCCTGCGTAATATACCTGAATGTATGTTACGTAAAAAACTTGTATGTTCACATTACAACTAATCATATTCAGGCAAGTGAATGAGACATACCAAATAAACTGTATCAGCAATCTGACACATACTTTCTCCCATTAGCTTGTCAACTATTATAATGGGCAAGCAACGGGAGTAACTATGATATTTTATGGGAAAATCACAAAAGTTGCAATAACTTTTGAACCGTAACTTTAACAGCATTGGTAGCTGTCCATTTTGTTTAGAGTTAAAACTACCTCAAAGTACTATGTTCTAGTAGACATTGTTTAAGCTATTTTGTGAAAATCTGCTTTTCCAATTAATTAAAGGGTTTTTATGGCAAACACATACAGACACACACAGTCTTTTCGAAACCACCTTTATGGGTACAGGTAACTCAAAACTGATATTCCCACCCAAACCTCAAACAATCTTACAAAATTTTTTTTTAATAGTTGAAGGTTATGTTTTTATTGGAGTTTACAAGGGTTATGGGAAATTTGGGAGGATTATGGGTAATTCAACTATTTGGGCCACTTTAGTCTCTTGCTACATCGACATAATATTTATGAAACATAGTTCCATTTTGCCTTATTCGATTGTTCAAACATTACTGAACTTAATTTATTTTCTCTATAATCCATTTCATTAATCTACAACCACACATAGAGCAAACACATGTGCGAACCTACACATAACCTTGGTGAATATGAATAAAATACAATTTACAATTCAATGAATATTCGTTCAGTCGGATTTTCAAATGTGATTCTGACATTAAACCTCACTAGCTGCCAGTTAAAAGGATCAACTCGAGATGAATGCGTGCATTTGATGTAGAGAAGAAAACATTTCACTGTAAAATGTAATCAAACAGGAGCAAAGCAGATTTCCAGACTTATTTGAAAGCTCTTTGAAGGATATATAAAAGAACATCTATGTAAAAACATATTCAGTATTCTGACATAGATGTTCACAACGTTATCGTTTCTTGCATTGTAATATTCATATATTGTTTTCTTTCAATTTCATTACACTTTTTTGTTCTCGGTGAACTATTTTTTACTGAGAATTTTATTTAAAATGGTTTTGTTTGTGTTTAGAATGAGCATGTGTTATTTGTGTACTTTTTGTAAGAGTTTTCTGTATTTTAATTGTTTTACATTTTACATAATTTACACAATATTAGAACAGAAACTGTATGGATCATAGACATAAAAATTACGTCACTGACCCGAATCTTATGTTATTAACCCAACATCTGGTTTCAACATTTTTGACAGTTGTTTACTTTCGGGCCTGTGACGTCATTTGTTTATATTTATGAGCCATGTGGTTTCTGTTCTAATATCCATTGGTTTACCCGATTGGTTTAGGCTACACTGGTTGTTTCAATGGGAAGGACTCTTATATTCCTAACTATTGGTTTGCTAATCTTTAGTGAGCAAATAAGAGTACTCCTGCCTTAATAAGATGAAAGTACATATTAATTATTGACAAACACATCGGGGCCTTGATTAATTAAACCTCTAGTAAAAAAAGTTTTTTGATTAATACATTTCAAATGTAATAGATCACAAATAATGTGACTGTGGAATCCACTATGTGCTATCAAAAAGCAATCATTAACCATAGTGATCCATTGTATGAAATTTAATTTCCCAAAAATCTATATGATGTATCATTATTCACGTAACCTCCTCAACCCTCCTTTTTATAAAACTACATATTTAGGTTAAACGAGCAATTGAAATAATTCATATTAATATGAATATAGCCCTTTATATTAAATTTCGAACAGAAACTACCCTATTCAAACATTTAATCTGGAATTTTTAATTATTACTGAACGGATTTTTGTTAAAACTAATTACAATAACCAAAGTCCACCCTTGATAAAACTCAATTAAATAAACATCAGACATTTGCAGAAATCTACCAGTTCAAACAGAGTTCTTAATATAACTTGGTTTATGAGTTTATCCGTACAAAATGAAAAGAGATTCGTATTCAGTAGAAGTTATGGAATACTCTTTCAGACCTCAGACCTTTGTCAATCCGAAACGATTGAATCTCGAATGAGTTTGCATTGCTTAATGTAAAATGTATGTTTTGATAAACAGGGAAATGTAAGGGGAATAATGAAATGAAATGTTTGCTCTTATGAAGGGTTTAATTAAAAGAAAGTGGCCCTTGTAAATGGTTCAAAAAGTGTAATTTATCCGAAAAATACTTTCTCTGCACTAAATTTCTGATTGCTTATTTGCTTCACTCTTTTTATTTAGGTTTTTACACTTTAACATTTTATTCTGTTAGTTGGTTAACCTTTGATAATGTTAAAGTTTGTAGAAATGTTTTTTTTCTTAATCTTTTTATCTAAAACTTGTTACATCTTAAAAATACATGTAATAATTTGTGTGTGGAATCATTCCTTGATTTTGGATTTTTAACTGAGAGGATGGGTTCTTGTTGTCGTGGACATTTTGCTTACAATATCTAAAAGAAATATTTTGAATCGAATGGCAAGCAGCTAAATACAATTAATACAAAAACGCAATTATTATAACTCAGTGAATTATCTAAACATATTGTTTCCAATAATTTTACCAAAGATCTTATAGCTGAGTAGCTAAAAGGCTAAAAGTCAGTATTTGTAGTATTTGTAGTTTGTATTTGTAGTTTTAACAGCTTGATACCAGATCCACCTGATCTTGATTGTTCAGCTTTTAATAAATGCTCCTGTACAAACAGCTGATCTTAGTCAGTAACAAAGCTACACGGATCATCTAACCCCATTCTACACTTGTATTCATGCTCAGCTTAAAATACACACCCAATTGTAACTCTTAAATTATTGATTGAGTAAAAAAATGACCACATTTAGGCATTCATGTATTACACTTGATGCATTCTCTAATACATTCATGTATTAGAGTCATTCTACACTCATCCTTCACTCATATTTGGGTTAAAATACGCACCTAAGTGGCGTCCCCATCTTAATGATTGATAATTGATAGTTGATAAATTTAATGAAAATTTGAGATGAAACTTGTAAAACACACTTATTAAAAACTAGAAACTCTTTCACCTCTCAACTTTTGCTTTTGTAATTTACCTTTTGCATTCAACTTTTGCAAAACCATAACTCCTGATTCTATTGAAAGTTAATTCATGTCAAACAGTTGCAAAATGTTTGGAGAAATGCTCACAAGTTATATTAATACAAGTAGAATAACATAATATCTGAAGTAGGAATGTATCCCCAGTGGTGTATAAATGTTATTATAGACCTCCCCCTCCCCCAGTTGTATTGTTTTGTTTCGTATTCACTGATTTCAATCTACTTGTGTGCCCAGAAATTTAGATTTGTTGCCAAAATGTGATATAGTTCGAAATTGATTCAAATAATTTGTTTTTTCATTCTATTGTAATATTTATTCATCTATTAAATCGACATACAGTTTAATTTGAAAGTATAAGTAGCATTTTCATATCTAACTAATCATACTATTCTACTTGTAAACCGTGGGTAAATCTATACCTAATGTTAAGATTAAATATACTACTTATACAATTAATTTTCATACTTATGGATCAACCGAAAATAATTTTGTGGTATACTATTCAGAATTATTGGATATTGTAGCATGTTGTGATCTTACTATATTTTTGAAATCGCCAAAAGTAAAACTAATGTTCCCAATGAAAACAGTATATTTGTAACCTACCCAACTTATGTTATTTTTAACCATAGGCAGAAGTAAAATCAAATAAATACTAAAATAATTAAATAAATTAAAGAGAAATATTTAATCAAACACAAAGTTTTTGTAGTCCCAATATATATATTACCTTATAGCCTAAATATATGTAAACACGTTAAAACATAAAAACAAAGATCCAAATCATAAATAATGATTTTTTTACATGACAAATTATAATATTTTTCAATATGAAGCAAAAGCAGCCATAATGCATGTTCAGTAATTCAATTCTGAACATCAAATTAAGGGTTTTCCAAGTACACTCCAACTTCATTGATTTGTTTCTAACAGTCTCTCTGGAGTTTATACTCCAGTAAATTATTGTTGGTTCATTCTCGTTCGAGTTATTGAACTCGCAAACTCAAATTTGTTTACATGTATAGTTATTATAGTGCTTTAACTCACAGTAAAACAAGTTTTGACTTATATGATGAAATATTGGAATACTTTGAGTAATTCAGAATGAAACTGTTTAAGCAATTATAAATCTCAAAATTAAAGTTTTATACTTGGAATATATTTAAAGTGTAGTTAGCATTGCAGGCCAAATTAGTTTTTTCAGAATCACAATAGTGAATTTGCTGATTGCATTATAAATTCTTAGGTCATCACAACAATGCTGGTGAAGTTTTATGAGTCGATTTCCAAAAAATATGATTGGATTTTGAATTGGTTCCTACAGCAAAAAGGTCTTGTGGATGTATTTTTGTAGTTTAAATAATCATATACATTTTTTATAAATACTATTACTAACCAAACCACTCCGTTTTAAGTATATAAATAAAAAGTCAAATGGAACTTCTGAATTTTAAATTTTTTAATTGATTTGTATTTTTTATTAAAGTAACGACAGTGTTTATATTAAATTTAACTTTGTTGTTGTTGTCTGAGCTCTTGTAGGTAAATGTTTTGAGCACCCTACGTATTTCACCACCTTGTGTGGCATCTTCAGTGTCCTTCTTGTGATTCATCAATGAGTAATACCACTGAAAATGTCACACAATGATAAATGCATACAGTA